CCACATCGCCGCCTATACAATGCCAGAACAGAGGTTACAATACGTCCAAGCAAACCTTTTTGTTAGGCGCTTATTCCAAAACAAACTTTTAATATGGAAAAATAATTTTGAGGTAATTTTTTTAATTATTTTTTGATATAATTTAATATATTATTTAAATATTAATTTTTTTATTTATGTGAAATTTTTAATATTAAATATATTTATTTATTTAATATTATGTAAACATTATATAAAAAAATAATATAAAAAAATTACTCATATATTACGACTCTTTAATATAAGCGAAAGGAACAAAAGTCAACTAAGGCCAACTAATAATTATTTATGTGATTTTTTTGCGGAGAAAAAATGAAAAAATTTTTAGGCCCTCAATATTAGATGAGATTTCTTGTCATTATATGAAGGGGGACAACTACTACTTATAATTCAAGCATGCATTCTTGCCTTGCCCCCATACAAAAGTTCAGTCTTTAGCTCTGCTATCAAGAAGTTGCTGTGAAAAATGGCTGATGGCAAAATGACTCCACCAGTTTTCTTTCCAGTCACCGCGACTCACCAGATACTCTGCCTTCCTAAGGCGGCAGAGTCCTCCCCGCTGATTCCATTCTCTGCTGTCGCCCCTGCTCAGTTTCTCACCTTGTCTAGGCTCCATATCCACATCACCCTCGAAACCATTCAAGAAGAAGAGAACGAAGAGGAGAGTGGGGAGTTTTTGCCCCAGGATTTATCGGTGACACCATTCTTGTCCCCATGTTTCTTAGAAGTGCAGAAAGCACCTTTGTCATCTTACAGCCGAATCGCCTGACTTCCACGTAATTGTAATTGATTCTCTCGTATGTGTAATCCATGAAATGTCCTTTTATACGAATCAAGGTTTATGTTTGGTAGAAATTTTGTCCTCTTGGGGGAGTTGGTAGGATTTCGCACATGTTAATGAAGTAATGGTTGTGCAATCTCATTATAACGTGTTTTATATACAGAGTTAATGTCATTCAAGTTGGTTTTTTTTTTAAAAAATTTTGAGGACATGTTTAAAAGTTAATAATTAAATTAATAGGTTCAAAAATCAACCTTGAATTGAGAATTCTACTCATGTAAATCATGTATATTAATTTTTATATTGATATAACACTTATAATTTTTTAATTAAAAAAAACTTTATTTACTCACATATATTTCACAGTGTTAAATTTTATATATTCAATAAATTTACACTTATTAAAACAATCTGAATTTTGTATGAATAGAACTCTCAATTCAATAGTTAACTTTTGAAATTATTAGTAAGAAGATGAATTTTTAAACAAATCCTCTAAAAAATATTTTAAAAGATAACTTGCAGAACATTTTTTCATATATATATATATAAAGATCCATTTATATATAAATTTTATATATTACATTTATATAATCTCAACAATTTATCTATTTATTTTCAATAATTGAGATTTATTTATATTTATTAAAAGTAATTATCTTTTTCATCTAAAAAATTATGAAAAATCTCAACTATATATATATATATATACTCAACACACTTGGTGATGCCTTTCTAAGGAACTTAAAACCTCTAATTTAGAGTCAATAATCCCTCTCCACCCTATTAGGGTTGAAACTTAAAACCCTAACAATAAGCCCAAGACCCAAGACCCAAGACTTGGGTTAGGGACAAGATCAATGATTGACTATCTCATTTTATATAGCTTATACTCAAATTAATGTATATATACGTATGATGTAATGAAAAAGCAATCCTCACAACGTAATTATAATTGATCCTAAATTTATATGGGAGACGAATATAACAATTCAATTTGTGGCCAAGATCCAACTTTTCACAAAAGTTCCTATTCATCCTCTAATGCAAGTTATAGTATTTTCCACGGAGTTTCTCAAATGTAGCTTAGCCACTTATGAATGGCCTCAACTTTCAATAATCCCTCATGCTATCTTCCTCAATTCTATATGACCTCTTTATCACTTGTATTTTCTCTTTGAAAGCTCTCTGGTTTTAGTTTGCTCCTAAATTAAGATCCCATTGTATTAACTCTTTGAGTAACCAAAAAAGAGAATGGAGAAGGAAGCGAGATGCATTCAAAACTGGGGCGAAGTTGCACCAACCATTTTTATATCACATCAGAAATGTCCTACTTCTCCTAAATTGGAGACCATTGTTGAAGAAAGATGTCATGAAATTCTCCAAGTCTTGCCAAAGAGGATCCTTTTTCTTCTTCGTGCATTTCTTTCTTTGGGTCTCTTTTATCTTGTGGTATAGATAGTATCTAGACATGATTTTTGTTATGCCAAATTAAACTTACTTTGTGCTTTGGCATGATGTTTTTGGGGTGGATTAATCATGAACCTCTAAAAAAATTTTAATTTTGTTGGTCTTTCTTTATGTTGTTTCAAATTTCAATGGAACTTATTTCCCTACCACGAATCAAACAATTCCTTCTTTTGCAAGGTTGGTTCATTTTTATCTCCCAATTAAACCGATTAAAAAACAATTTGGTACATTAGATGATAAATTATATAATAGGAGAAGATAGCTCTTCTCTACCCTTAATACCCCCTACAAATTTTAAAATTCAAACTCAAGATCTTTAACTTAGAAACTCAAATTTTTATCACTTGAAACACCCCCTTCTAATCAACATGGAGATTGCGAAGATTTAAATTTGAGATGCAAGAGTTTTGTATTTAGAAATTTATGAAAAACTTGTTTTATAGTGAAAAGGGTATTACTTTTTATATAAATAATGAACTAAAAGAAGAGGTGAAGAAATAGATTTTGATCCTTTGTTTCTAACTTTCTATGCCCATTTTTTCTAAATTAGTTGTATGTTAGACCTAAAACATTTCAAATCCTTCGTTCTAATTTGGATTAACAAATTTCAACTCAAATGTAACAATGATTTCATGTTATGCTCCCAAGATGTGTTTTTAGGCATATCTATGCATGGTTGCTTTTTCGGTACCATTAATTAGGCTACATATATTACCGAACTCCTCCTATTTTTACCTCTTCCTTTCCTTTATATATACTTCTCTTCTCCAAATCAATTTCTCCAACAATTCGACTCTCTTAACTTGCAACACAAGAAAAGAGATTCAATATTTTTTCTTTTTCTTTTTCTTCTTCATGTTGTGAAAATGGTGAAGGATGTGAGATACATGCAGAATTGGGTTGAGGTAGCGCCGGAGCCTCTCATTTCTCACTAGAAAATGTTAACTTCTCCAAGGCTGGAGACCATTGTTGAGGAGGGTTATGATGGTGTGCGCGTGCCAAAAAGGGTCTTCATTGTTCTTTCAGTGTTCCTTTCTTTGGTGTTTTATTTTTTGTTGTATAGACAAATTTCTTATTAATCAAAACATATGGATGGTTGAGGAAGGATTAATTGCCCATGGGTATGTTAGGCTAAATCCAAATTCATCACTTTGTATCCATCATTAGGGGAACTTCTAGTAATTAAGAGGTTAATCTTTTATGTTGGAGATCTCAATTTCAATTTTTAAGATGAATGAAAAGGAGTATGGGAAGGAAAAGACCGTTTTAATTGTATAGTTCATTATAAGATATACAAAAAAAAAAAAAAATCATCTTGTATTCATGCTGTAAATGTAAATTAAAGTTCATGGTTCAAGTTTCATTTTATTGCAT